GGCGATCCAGCATCACACTTAGTACAGAGCCTTGAGGATATCCCTTTCCAATTGGAACTGAATTAAATAGAATGTTGTCCAGTTGGACTATTATATTGAACATTGTAGGAATAACCTATATTGATAACATTGATTTCTAAATAATTGAACATGTTTACGATTTTGAACTATTAAGTATCTTTGATCCAAATTAACATGATAAGTCGCACACAAAATAAAGATGTATTTTCTGCGACTGACCTCAAAACAAACCCCTAAGACATCACCTTGATAAATATTACAGGCAGTTGCGTTGAATAGAAAACATCATTTAGTGTTAACGGACATAATTAATACACTGGAGAAAGCCCTTGTATATCATAAGTAGTCACAAAAACAGACTGCATTTCAACTTCAAACCTACCTTGACATATCTATCTGTGTATATTGGAAAACATATTTTAATCAACAATAATTTTGAAATTATTAGTTAACATCCACATTTTGGAAATTCTTTTTATATCCCAACTAATAGCAGAATTCACTTCAAGGGGTATGCCTTATTAGTTTTGGGAATTATTGGTTTTATATATTTAGAAACTAAAAGTCTGTTTCTAACTGTCAAAAGTAGACACACCAAATTTAATTAAACCAACCATTCCAGAAATATAGATAAATTTCACGAACTCACATGCTGTTTGTCAGAATGCATTTATTGTATATGAGTGAGTTACATCTTTAGCTCCTTTTTTCACTGTTGATGATAATGCATCGCAGTTTTTACAGACATACAGTTTCACACGAAATCCAACTCGTGTGTATTGTATCCTTTTTAGCACATACATGATGCTCAATATTCGCATCAAGTTCATTTCTTCAAATGGATCTACACACACACTATTTTATCCCTATAACCACGGCCAAAAATACTAGTTAAAATATATGCATATTGTTTTATTTTACTTATTTTGGAGAGCAAATGTGAGTTTCATCACATATAACTAACGGGCATTTTGTCTTTCTCATTCCTTTATTTGTGTTCAATATGTATGATGTTTTTTGGAATGGAATATATGTTAATCGAAGTTCAACATCAATTAAGAAAAGATAGTTCATATAAACATTAACATTATTAATATTGAGTTACTATAATCTTTTGTACGCTCCTATTTTATAAAGCACATCAATGATGAGGGCGACGAAGTATGAAGTGCTTAGCAAGTTCATTATGCTAATAATTAAGGGGGAGCCCAAACAGTGCTCAATACGATACAAAGGAAATTCTCCTCTTACCTTTCATGCAATGGTCGTTGTGGCTCCGTAAGGTATTTCAATCCATGCACACTAGTATTTGCAAAAAATTCTCCCAAATGTGCCCAGACTCGGTGAGGCAAACAATGCTTTCTTGTATTTTGTTCGACAGGCACTAAACTAGAAAATAGGATACAATAGAAAAATATAACAAGAACTATATATTATAATTTTATATATAGTCGCTTTGGTTTCGTTTTAATTTAATGAATATCTAGATCTATCAACTCTTAACTCCTTAAAGTCATGACCTAAGCCGTGTTAGACTATAAATTTCTCAGAAAGCTGATTATCACAACGCTATTTATTTTACTCAGGGTAAAACTCTTTTCCGATTTATGAAAAGAAACTGTTGATATTAGGTTATCTGCTTTCGCAAAATAATTAAAGAAAATGGACAAAACACCTTCGTCTTACACTATCTAACAATTTTACATGTACGTGTCTGTTACTTCCTCTTAGGTTAAATAACTTGGCTTTTCACTTTATATGGATTTTTAGAAAATAAATAATGTCTAAAAGTATATCAATCATGATTTTTGGATAAGTAATAAGAAATACTGTTTATTTATTTTGTTTATAATTATTAGTGAGGACAAAGATACTACATCAAGTAAACAAAAAGAAAAATAATTGTTTATACTGAGACAATAAAGCAATAACTTGGCACTTTTTAAACTCGCTGTAGATGCATTACTATTTAACTCAACAGTTTTCTCTGTGTCGTAACTTGTCTTTTGTGATTAAAACATAATCTTATTGGGCTATTTGACATGCAGGTTTGCTTGAATCAGGGACGGGCACAAACACGAAAGGCACTCAAGAGCTACAGATTTGTCCGCGGGGCATATAGGCGGGCGGACGTCAGGGACGAGGCAGGCGATTGATTGATTGATTGATTATTTTGTGTTTCCGGGCGCGTCAAAGGTCATTCTACTCGTAAATGTACAATGACCTTTGACGTCTCCTCGTCGCCACGCCGGAGAGTGAGATCCTGCGCCGACCTACACGTAGGTTTACGGTGTTTTCCCTATTCAGGTATCACCCACCCATCATTTCCCTATTCAGGTTTCACCTACCCATCATTTCCCTATTCAGGTATCACCCATCCATCATGACCCTATTCAGGTATCACCCACCCATCATTTCCCTATTCAGGTATCACCCACCCATCATGCCCCTATTCAGGTATCACCCACCCATCATGCCCCTATTCAGGTATCACCCACCCATCATTTCCCTATTCAGGTATCATCCACCCATCATTTCCCTATTCAGGTATCACCCACCAGTGGGACACTCACCTGCAGGGACACGCTCAAGCACCCCACTGGTCTCCCGGTATGTGTGGTAGTGTAGTACATGTGAGAGGTAGTGAGTTTGTAAAAGAGAGCTGATGACTGGAGAAGGGAAGGGAAGGAATGATTGCGCGCACTCCGTGGCCAATTTGTGAAGGCACTGCTCCGGCTTTCGCCTGATAGTAATGGTATGTACTCGTGAAAGGTTTAATTTGGATAAAGCATAAGTGGAATTGTACGCAAACTATATAGAAATGTGTCGTAATGCTGTGAAAGGGAACTTTCTGAAAAAAGTTGGTATGCAAATCACATGTATATAATTTATGAAGTCAAAGATGTGAAAGTCTAAATGAAACCTGAGGGCGTTCGGTTTGTAGGAGATAAGAACACTTTAATTTTGAGAAAAGACTGAAGTCAGAAGTGACTTACCCAGTTGCCGCCTCCATGACCCACCTTTCGAAGAGCGGCCGGACACTAACTGTACATTGTTACGCTCCTGCGACAAAGTTAATGCGACCACGCCCTTCTGGGATTTTGAGTGCTTAGTTTGTAATTTGTTCGTATTAGGCCAACTTTGTTAGCCCACCGTGTTAATTCTCTCACTGCAAAAAACTGACGTTTTAAAGTACATTATACATTTTTTATCTTTCAAGGTTTCGAGGTACTACTTCATCTCTTTCTCCTCTTTTACTTTTGATCTTGCTCATTAATGTGATGAGCTGTGACTAATTACATGGAGTCCTGAAAAATGAACTCCGTGACTGGTCACCAGAAGGGAAGCAAGAGATATAGAGGTTACAAAAATATAAACAAAATGTACTCCCACACTTACTTTTATATTATTTCGAACAATAATTGATATATTTATGTTGGGTGTATATTTTAACTTGACAAATATAAAAAATCTCCAAAAATTCCCCCTTTACTTTGTCTCAAATATCAATAGACAATTTATAAAATTTGTAAAATTATAGAATAGTTTTTTCTAGCTATTATACAGTTGCCTGCACATACAGAAAAATACGATTTTTAAAGAATTGGATTTCACGAGAATTTAGAGAAATTTTGTTATTTGTTTTTTAAATTTTCATAATTAACGGAAAATGACACGTTATCAAGGATAACTTTTGAATACTACATACATCAGAATCATTATATTCTATTAGTTTATAACATGATTTAAGGAAATATGTGAAATTAAATGAGAAAAAATGACATGCAAATCTTATATTTAAGAAAATAATTCTGTTGATTAAAAAAGATGCGTGAAGAAAATATGCATGTGCAAAACAAATTCATATTTTCAACAGGTTCATAGATATAACAACGGATGGCAATATTACTACTAAACAATAATTTACAATTGCATGATGAAAATTCCTTTTGAATTTTCCAATTTTTTTACCATTTAGCAACAATTAATGATCATCTTGAAATTCAAGAGACCTTTGTTCATGATGATCTCTTTGAAGGTGAACACACTTAAATTATTTTTTAGAATATTGCACAGAAATACACACATGACTTTCCAATAACTCCTCTTTAATATATGAGCACGTTTCAAATGATATCTAAGAATTAAAAAATAGAATTGGCAAATTTACCGAATTTTCTATTATAAAAAATAAACATATTTTTAAGAAATCTTTCTCACACACCGATTTGCGAGTATGGCAAAAAATATTCATTGTATTACAATTTGGTGTCACATTCGTCCTAATTTGAAACTGCTAACTAGTTGTCGTATTAGACTAAACGCTTCGGAAGCAGTTCTTTAACATTTGCCTGTTTTCGTATCATTTGACAACGAAAACACCGCCGCGTATAGCGAGTCCTGCGTTATGAGACGGGCCGCCCTCTGGAACAGCAGGGTCGCACCAGCAGCCAATAGATGAGCTCCAAGACGCTGAGAACGCTGACGCCCAGACTCAGCCCCAGCAGGCCGCCGCAGTTGGCTGAGGCAACGGAAATCGTTCAAGCAGCATTATAGATTGCCAAAAAGATGAAGGAAATTACTTCACTGAGTCCGGCGAATTGTTTAACTACGTTCCGTGAAGTAAAAATCATTAGTGACTCCTATTGTGCAAATCAAATTAAAACTAAGGTATATAAGAAATACTTCTTTTTTAAAGAAAGCAATAATGTGAATATTAATCTATTATTATGTCAAATTTAATTTTAATTTGTACAAATGTTATAACAAACGATATTCAATGAAAGCGACACTCATGTTTTAAGCGGCATCTTAAATTAATTATATAGCGTTGGCGACCCCGTAGAGTAAATTTCAATTAGTTTTTTTTATCGCATTTGTAAACTCAAAACTAAATGTAAAACTCTAATATCTAAAGTCTAAAATATTCTGATATGATATGATCCTTTTCAAATTCCGCCACTAACGCTATTCTTACCTATGAAGTCAATTGTTCCGAACATTTCAATTCGACGCGTGGGAATGAAGTAGGTGTCCTTGAAGTTGATCGATACAGTTGTGTAAAATTCGTCTTCTTCTCTGAAAAGAAAATAATACATTTTTGAGTGCTTCGTCTAATAAAAATATGTTTATTAAAATTTATTTATTATCATTTTCAGGAAGAATATCATTTTCCAGGAAGTACATATAAACAAAAATATTGACTTCCTTTTACGAATTTTTCTTTATTAATTATTGATAATTTTATTTTACAATAATCCATTACATTATTTTCAAATACAATAAAATGAATAAACACTGTTAGTTCTTTCAATTAGGTCATTTTTTTACTCGTCAGTTACTTGAGACGATTTGAACGTGTGTTGGATTCAAATATAACCTGCACATTTCTGAAATGAAAATACTTGCCATCTTTTTTTCCCCGCACTGAATAGATGTGGAAAAGTAAACTAGCCGACATTTCTTAATGCAAGCAAAGGGTAGGTATCTACAATCAGCACCTACTACTATCAATTGTTCGCAAAAATGCTTAGGAAGGCATCAAGTCGGTATTAGTGATGCGACATCGATAACAAAACATCGATGTTCCAAATTAAAACATCGATGTTAAAAATACATCGACTACACACCATCTATATTTTCAAGATCGTTGTTTTTAGACTGGATTTGTGAACTCTAACTTTAAATACATGTGCATTAAAATTTAATTTGACCGTGTTCGTTTTTATCAATTCTCCGAATAAGGTCATGATAAGGAGCAGACCCTACGACCACAGTGTATTTGTTGACCTTATCGCAACGTGAGAAATGAATATGAAAAAGACAATATACAAATGCATGGAGTTAGGGTGAGAGAGTATGATCGATGAAGGTAGTGCAAACAGAATTTCTTCGGTTTCAACACATGTAGTGGAATAACAGTGTTACTATCAGTTATCATTTCTTACTTCATATTAATACATTAACTTCATATTATTTAAACTTTTGTAGTATTGTGATCATGGGCATTTTTCATTCAGAAACAAAACATCGTAAAACAAATATTAACGATCGCAAAACATGGATGTTAAAAAAATCGGTTTTAATACATCGATGTTTAAAACATCGATATTACTTCAAAAGCATCGACATCGATGTCGCATCCCTAGTGGGTATCTGTTTTTGAGTCGAGTTGGAGTATGGTGTATTACAGCGAGATTGTAGTGGACTGCGTATGGTATAAAGTTGATGTTTGAGTAAAAATTAATGGAGAGGTGCGCTATGGTTTTAGTGAAGGATGCTATATTCACGTCTTTGTGCAATGGTTTGTTGGATATAAATCATGGAGCGTGAATTCGGCGAAATGTATTTTGTATAATTTGCAGTGATGGATGCTATATTCACGTCTTTGTGAATTTGGTTTCTTGGATATAAATCATGGAGCGTGAGTTTGGCGAAATGTATTTTGTATAATTTGCATTGATGTATGCTATATTCATGTCTTTGTGCAATGGTTTGTTGGATATAAATCATGGAGCGTGAGTTTGGCGAAAAATATTTTGTATAATTTGCAGTGATGGATGCTATATTCATGTCTTCGTGGAATGGTTTGTTGTGTATAAATGATGGAGCGAGAGTTGCCAATCGGCGAAATGTGACTGCGGCGCTTACTTGGCGGGGCCGAGCGGCGCGGCGGCTGGGGCGGGCGCGGCGAGGCCCTCGAAAGACGACGCCTCGCCCTCGTAGGAGAGGTGTGCGCACGTCTGCAGGCAGCTGCAGCGGTCGCGCTCCCCGCGCGGCGCGCGCTCCCGCTCGCGGCCCAGCCCCAGGCGCCGCCACCACGCCCCCGCGCCGCCCTCGCCCTCCCCCGACGCGCGGAAGTCCACGTCCTGGAACGCCTCTGCGCCACACGCCACGACTCTCCACGCGCGTCCCCTGACACGCGCGGCGCACGCACGCACGCACACACCGCTCGCACACGCACTCACTCACGTTCCCACTCGTAATTGACGTACACATATGCTTCACATTACTTCATTCAATTATAACCAGGGCTCGGATTGTGATGAACTAAAAATCCTTTGAAAATGACCAAACAAAGTTGCTTAAAAATGGCGATGGAAAATGTCTAATAAAATGACTTTAAAATGACTGGAAATTGACCAATTTTTTTTTAAAAAATACTTAAAAAATATTTATGAAAATTTTTGTTGATTCATTGAATTATAAAATTTTAAATAAAATGTATTTATACAACATTATATTTAACATAATGTCTTTAATTTAGGAGAAAATGTGATCTTTAACTCCGATCTTCCAATCGTCAATTTGGAAAGGTCGAGGATTTTTCTGAAGATCGTGTAATTTTAAGAGTTCGAGAAACAGAGTCTATTGCAGTAGTGAATTTCGTCACGAACTGACGAAACAATAAAAAGTGTGTCACTGCAGGTATATGAAACATTCACTTACAGAAAACACAAAGACGGCTTGGATAGCCGAGGTCGCTAAGGCTGGAGGGCCATAGCTCCTCAGCTCGAAGAGTCGTGGGTTCGAATTCCGCCATGAACATGGATTTTCGTGTGTGTTCGTGTGATCTTTACGCGTTCTTCCTACAGTTCTCCCTACAGCCAAAACAACTACAGTGGTCGCTATATAACCAAGTTCTTAGAAAGCGACATTAAAAAAATCACAAAAAGAAAACAAAATGCATAAAAATGACAATAATGACGCAAAGTCCAACAAAAAAAACTTAAAAATTGAAAATTGGCAAAAAATGACCCAATAACTTTTCATTTTTATCACCAATATGTCGTGATAAACATTCATTTACAAGTTAGTTGGGTCTGAAATGCACCAATAAAAAGATGACATGTCATCAGAATCCAAGTTCTGATTATAACACTATTGTTATTAATATATTATTATTAACATTAACAACAATAATAACGAGAATTGTTGAAAAAACATTCGATGTTAATGAACGTAAAGAAGACTCCGCAATGTTAACATGTTACAAATTTTATGCTGCTCAGGATTTAATAAATTGAAAATGTACTTGCGACTTGAATTTCTGCAAAATCTAAAATTATTAACTGCAGAACACATACAGAAGTTTTAAATAGGCATACGTATTTGTTTTGCATGGACAGTTGACTAATCTGCATATGCCACTGCCAGTTTTACTGACTAATATGCCGAGATTAAGATTTCCGCGTAACAGATCATAAACCTTCTCAGTGGGGAAAAAAGGAAGATGTGCCAACTTTCATGGTGATTGGTCACACGGTCTCTGCGTTTACCACTTTTAAATATACTAATAGCCATATATATTGTGGCGTTATGGGATTGTGCAACCCCATAACACCACAGTCTCGGATGTATGAACACCCACAGGCAGCGAGGATAACAGGCGCAGAAAACAGGTTCATAAACACGCGTCCTAGTATCCGTTGCCCGTACTAAACGAAAGCAAACTAGCAAGCAATGTTTTCCTTGTGAAGGGTTGAGAGAGGGGAAGCAGTCCCACCACTGAGAATTTCCCCAGGTGCCGCGCGATAAATACGCGAACCCGCAAGCGAAAGCTCTTTTCTTGCCACCACGCGTCGAGTAAGCAGCTTTTTACCACCGATCGCCGAGTCAACACTTTCGTTAAACATTAGTTTAGATATTGTTTGCCGCTGCAACGACAACTAGGCAGGAGTATTCGTCGTCGAACAGACGTTCTAGTTAGTCGTCCGCGAAATAGTGCAGATTAAGTAAAGTGTTTCTTCAATTAACAACACGGGAAGTAAAAGTTACCCGTTGTGAGAGAAGCATTGAAAGTTCTGGCTTAGCAAAGTAGAAGTAGCAACGAGTGAGGAACTTGCACGAGTACTCAGTGAAGGGCAAGGGACATTTTCACAACGTGGGCGTAGTCAGAGGCGCCGGTAGCAGACGAGGTGGAAGATGGGGACGGACCCAGGCGCACGAGGAAGAAGACGGAACGGCTGGGTGGAAGAACGGAGGAGGATGCAAGAAGGCAACGTAGACGGCAGAGGTGAATCCCGTCTCTTTACGACGCAGAAACTGGGACCGAACGGCGTCGGCGCAGCGACCTGCGCACGTCTATCAAGGCCAAAAGTGGGAAGTTCACGAGGTAACGGTTAGGAATTGCGGAAAATACGTCACGTTCACGTCGGCAAGGAAAAACTAGTATAGGAAAGTGTTAAGTATTTGAGAACACGGGTGGCAACAAATTGCAGTATTATAGTAGGAGACGTTTTGATGCGTCATTGCCTGCATAAAACATTCTACGTAGGACATTTATTATTCTGCCATTTTCAGACACAGTTAAATTGTAAATGAGAGTAGTGAACTTGTACACATTCTTTTCTTTACATGTAATATTTTGAAGCAGAAGATTGTAAATTGAATTTTTGGTTTCATGTGCAATGTAATTAGAATAGCACAAATTTAGATATAATTAATTTTCCAAGGGAATTCCCAGTGTAGTTTAGGGTAATTATTTCAGAGTATCAATTTTGAAGTAAATTATATGTGTTTATTCATATGAGTGTGAGTTGTAAAGGTTTCTATTTGTGTTTTGATTATTCTTTGTAAAAGTGTGATTCTATATTCTTGGTTTAGGTCATTGACTTATGCCACTAAAAGTTTATGGGTAAATTATACGCTCGTTTGTGTGCAATTTGTGTGATTTTATTGTGTCAAGGGTTCAAACTTTTCTCGCACCCCTGAAGATCCTGCTCCCTAGATTTTAAAGCTCGCTTCACGAGCAAAATCTTGATAACCTGCTTACGGTTTATGCGTGCTACTGTGAAGGTGGTAAGTGTGGGGTAGGTGGGTTGGCTAGAAAATATTATATATTTATATATATATATATATATATATGTATATTTATATATATATTTATATATATATATATATATATCGCATAAATGCATTGTAAAGGTAATTAATCATTAAAATCTACATATTGAGTACTATTTGCTTACCTTCCGCATCCATCACACAGGTGATAATTTGTGATGATGTGCCACATACAACGGTGGTCACGAAACCTGATAATAAAACACACCTACTTTCAAGAAAACTTAAAAGTTCTGAAGCAATAAGGCAAGTAAATTTGAACCATACTACTAATTTTTAGCTTTCATTCACGATATCGTGACATTTGAATCGATTCTTTACAAGGGATAAGATCCCCATATTCATTACTATTTTCGTATGCGCGCAGATTTTGAGAAAAAACTAAGCAGCCTCCGCCCGTGAAAGATGTGTGTGTGTGTGTAAGAGGAGTGGTTTTGTTACATACCCAGAAACTCGGAAAAAATCCAAAAACAATGAAACAGATTAGATTTTCACTAAAAATTCAAATAATTTATTATGTAATTCTTCCTATAATTATACAGCGGAGTGACTGAATACTCATTCTCAGTGCATCACTGCTTACTTGCACAGCTTGCGTCACGCAACAGCAAGGCTCTGAAGATGATCATGCCCTTATTAAATACTATTTACTATTAGCATGATGCGTTATGGAAGAACAACTTATTTGATATTATTGGTATTAAATAACTGTTGATCTGTCTCAATACTATTCTGTTATTTGAGTATTAATGATGATTGTTTTTTAAATATTTAATATGGTGCAATGATGTACGCGAGCATTTTTATTTCTTCTTTTTCAGCAGTGAACGTGAAATTTTTGGAAAACCATTTCGTGTGATTTTGTTGAGCAACATTTTTGCTGCTGTATCAATATTTTAATATCTTAGTGCCTCCATAATCTGAAGCGGACGAGCGTGTAACGCCACTCAGAGCCAGGCAAACAGTGACACTTAAACCGTATAGATCAGGTGACGAATGACGTAAGCTCGTTTGGAACAACGTCAAGACCAATAATAGACGTAAACAAATGGAAACTCCCTGCATTCCGCGAGTCAATTCATGCGCAGTGCCGCCATATTGAAACGGAGTAAACTGCTGGTGCTTGCTGTTTAGCTTGCGGTTTAACTGTTGCTACGAGTGTTTTTAGTTTCCAGTTTTTATTTTCATTAACAAGTGGTTTCTCGTTTTTAAATTTAATTTGATGTGTGTATTTCATTTGTAAATTTCTTAGTGTATACTAAATGTCAATAAGAACAATGGTGGACGGCCATGTTCAGCACCGAATTGTAAACATAATCCGAACAGAATAAAGATATTAGCTTTTTAAGATTTTCAAAACACAAGGAAGGGGTAGTAAAATAAGTAAATTTAGTAGAAGATTCTCACAATATATCATTTTCAATTGGGAGTGTAAATATTTTGTATGAAAATAAAATTATTCGTAAACCATAAAAGCATGGTTTGTTCATCAATGTTTTCTAGCAAAGAAATGGATTGTAAACTCCATAAGAGAGGTTTCATTAAAATGGATGCCACATATTTCATAAAACTTGTAATTGTTTGTACCTTTTTTTAGCAACTTATGCATGTTTACTGAAAATACTGCATTGTATTCATAATGTAGGTTAAACTACTGCTCTGTTTTTGAAAGTGGTGAAACTTGGCCTACTTTGAGGGTACTGGACGTATGAACTAGTACTGATTCTAATCTTAATTACAATTATAGCTCCACCACAGAGAAAAAACTGGCATGCGCATGCGCGTATCGTGGCGGAGGGGAGGGTTCTCTCTCTTAGAGGCTCAACTTCCCCGCCTTGAGAAGCCCGTCGCCCCGTCCTAGGAGGGCGGGAAGAAGACAGCCTGGCCTTTACGAACGTCCCGAAGCCTAGAGTCCTGAAGCGTGAGAATTAAGTTGCAAGACCGAATCAGTTATCGTTGCAGGCGGCTCTTGAGTTCAACTGAGCAACCCTTCGGGAGCTATGGGGGATGTATTAACCACACCTCTCGAGGTAAGCGACGCCATGATGGTTTTTTTCTAAGTGGTCGAGCTGTAGTATCTTAGTGTGTGTTATATGTAAGTAAGAAGATCCGATGTATAACTATAATAGTGAGACTAATTTCATGTATGTAAAGTTCTCTCTTCGTATTCCTAAGTACAAGTCAAGTGATTACTCGGCGAGAAGATGGCGACCGATGGATGTAATCTGATCGTTCCTCAATGATCAATGGAATTGCCGTCTAGTTTCCCTTATGTAAACTTTCTATTCTGTGGTTGAGATGAGTTTTACCAAATGCTACATTTCATCACACATTATGACAATAAAAAGCATTTCAATTGTTAAACAAAGAAGTTACATAGTATATAAAAAGTATAGACAAAAGATGAAACATTTGAACCATGATACGAGCTAAGAGTACACAAATCGTTATCATGCAAGAATCATGAAATCTTAATCATACAACCAGCCTAATAGAGCGTGCACCGCCACGCGCCCGCACTACGCACACGGCATGCGTAAGGGGGCCTCACGCGGTACGTGAAAACGCTACGCACGCGGCATGTGGAATCGCTACATAAGCGGCATGTGGAAGCGCTAAGCACACGGCTTATGGAAGTGCTACGCACGAAGCAGATGAAAACGCTACGCACGTGGAAGCGCTACGCACGCGACATGTGGAAGCGCTACGCACGCGGCACGTGGAAGCGCTACGCACGCGACATGTGAAAGCGCTACGCACGCGGCATGTGGAAGGGCACGCAACCGCAGTGGCGCAGCGTGAGGTTGGCGAGGCACTCGATCTCGCAGTTGCTCTGCGAGTAGAGGCGGAAGAAGGCGAGGCGGCGCTCATCGGGGAAGTAGCAGCGGCGCTGCTGCGCCGAGTAGCCGCCGCGCACGTCGGCGTCCGTCGCCATCTCGGCCGGCGTCACGCGCAGCGCCGTCGACCCGCGCAGCGGCGCGCGGAACGAGCGCTCGGCCGGGCGCGGGAACTCCGCGGGGCTGTGCAGCTGCACCTGCGCACCGCACACGGAGCGACGGTGGTCGCGAGTCACGATTTACTTTGAAGCTTGTGATAGTGAATTCCACGGGTTCCTAGTTATCGTGTGATCTCCTTCCCTCGAAGGAGACACTTTGGGGCTGGGGAAGAGTCGCGCCGGGGAAGAGTTGCGCCGAGTACGAGTCGGGCTGGGGAAGAATCGGGTCCGGCAAGATTCGGGTCGTGGAAGAATCGGGTCGGGGGGAATCGCGCCAGGGAAGAGTCGGGCTGGGGAAGAATCGAGTCGGAGAAGAGAGGCGTCGGGGAAGATTCGCGCCAGGGAAGAATCGCGCGGGGAAGAGTCGCGCCGGGGAAGAGTCGCGCCAGGAAAGAGTCGGGCTGGAGAAGAATCGAGTCGGAGAAGAGAGGCGTCGTGGAAGAGTCGCGCCGGGGAAGAGACGGAAGGGGAAGAGTCGGATCGGGGAAGAGACGAGCCGGGAGAATGTCGACCCAGGGAAGAATTGAGGCGGGGGAAGTCTTGCCAGGAGAACTCAGCGGATCCAGACTCGCGCAGAGCAGATCTGTTTCTTGGAATATGTAAGGGGGACAAAAGTGCCGCTTTAGTGGGTCGTGAATGTGTTTTTATTGGCTTGATATCGATAATTGTGAATTTATGTTCCTTTCATAAATATATGTAAAATACTCGTGTATTTTGCATTTAAGTTTATGCACATACTACGTGAGAGACACACTCATTCAAACTAAATCTGGTGAGCACCGTACACACCTAAAGCAATCAAGCTGAAAAATCATTAGAAGAAAAAACTTACGAGTGTTAAACTTATTAAATTTACTAAATATATAACATCACCAAGAATACTACAAAGACAAAATAATTGAAGAATAATAGAGTAATATTAAAGAATTATTTTCACTACAGTTATATCAAACAAATTGTGCTAAGGCTGGTGTTGGCCTACCGTTTTCATTTCACTGCTTCTTCTCGGGGAATGCCTCGTCGAACATTGCCTCCACAAAATATCATCAACTATACACACTCTGAAAGACATACTACACACAATTATTGCTGGATACCCGTTAGATATGATATTTACTGTATTAGATACAATCATCACACCCGCTAGGCGAAACACTTGTTACTACAATGAAAATGTATTGTACTAAAAATCTTCTCGGAACTATGAGTAATCACGAAAATAAGTCACAAACAGTACATGGTTCACCACAGAGTCACGGACTGCCCTGCTACGCCCACTGATTGTTAGGAAAATAGTACGCTGTGCTATTTACAAACGCTGGGAATCTAAGGTTTAGATCACATGCGAGTCAAAACTACAATTCTAAAAATATTAATAAAATATCTTCTGCACATTGTGGTTCACTCTCATTACAACGAGGGAGAAATATGCGCTCAATAATGATTTTATAAGTTATAAACGTCCCAACAAATGGTACTGTAATTTATGCTGAAAAATTAAAATATAATTTAAAATAATGATGCATTTTAGAAGCACTGGCTTTCGAGTAACGTGAGATGCCTCGAATGCACTCGTCTGCTCTCTGGCGGATAGTAGTTATGTTTGCAGGAAAGGCGTGATACTCGTAGACCCGGCCTTGAAACAAGGCCAGGGGAGCAACGACATCCATCCCTAGCTAGCTGGGTTTAGTACATTATCTGCTACGGCTGCTCCCGGTCGCAGCCTGCCGCTGACTCAGTGAATTAGATGCGCGCGCTGCTCCATTCCCGAACGGTGATTTCAGAGTTGGGGTTAGAACAGTGGGCAGTGGCAAAGACAGCAGTAGAGGATGCATTATTGCAATATTTTTAATCATGTGGCATAAGGATCATTGTAATTTTAATAATAAATACGAGTATTCATTAAATTCCAATTTTCGCCGAATTCAGCAGTGCTGGTGTTGAATACACGCCACTACTACAGACTTATTATTTGTCTGGAAGATAGAGGTAACTGTTTCAGGCAAGTCGTGGACAAAAATTGGCGGCACTCCTCCCTGAAAGAACCTGTTCTTCCCTGAACCGACCCACCTCTGCGTGAATTGAATTGAACTGATGCATTATTTTACGTGGCGAGACTCATGCCATTAGGCCCGCTTCTGAGAAAGGAGATATTTCTTGGGCGACGAAACAGGCGATTTGAATTTAGCTCTGAAACTTGAGAATAGGCTTGAGAATATTTTATATGCAGTAAATCTACTAATGGCAGCTGGCTTTACTTCCCCTCCGAAGGAAGGCGTACGAAGGATTTTCTCGCCTTTAAAAATCCACGGCTTCGATCGCTTTTAAACCCGCGAACGTGGGTTTAGCAGTCCGATACGCTAACCGTTACAACATCGCAACCGCAAACCATCGTCGCCGCGTGGTCTCGGAGGGAACTGTAACTGGCCCTATACTCCGATTTTAATGTGGTTGAACTTGAAGGTCACGACCTGGTAGGAGAGACATTGTCATTCCATCAGAAGCCCTAATGTCAAAAATTTAAGCCGTAACGAGGATCCCGATTGGATGACCGTGACCTCTCCATCCATCTCGTGGCCACAAAGTATTACTCGGGCAACTTTTCTTGAACGATGGATTGACGATTTCGGGTGGAGTGGGGGTATTAGTTACAAAGTCGGCCACTAGAGTATTTGAAGTAATGCCAACGTGTGTGAAATGAAAGTCAAAACTGCATCTTGTGCTTAACTTTGTCGGGAGTTTTAGGTGACTCCCTTGAAGGACCTGGACCTCACTCAGCTATTTCTTTCAATATTGGCAATAAATCTGAATAGGGATTCTTCACTATGAAAGCAACTGGCTTTGGCTAGCTTCTGTTTTCTCGCCAACGAAGTTTTAATGCTTGGAAGGTTGTCATCAGTGCCTGCTGCGAGCTTTTGCCTTCAACTGTTTATTGCACAAGGGAGGGGGATGAAGGTCATCGTTCAAGAAAAGTTGCGCGAGTAATACCACCACGTTCAAATCTGAGTGCAAAGCACATGCGTCGGGCTGGGCTGCCCTGGCGGGGCGGCGTGCTGACCTTGTAGCCCTCGTAGGCGTTCCTGCAGTGCGCGTCCAGGTCGCGAGCGGGCGCGCGCAGCGTGAAGGAGAGGCCGGTGCCGGCGCCCGACGCCGTCGCCCTGAACGGGTAGGCGCCGCGGCCGGCGGTCGGCGCGTACCCCTCGGACGGCGTCCACTCGCGCAGGTGGCGCCGGTAGTTGAGGTAGCGCCGCGCGTGGTGCAGCCTGCGGCCCGCGCGCAGGACAGGGCATTTTTTTGGCTCTTGGTGATTGGCTGGGGTTTCCGGGGGCGGAAACTGCTATGGTCATTAGTCCCGTACGTGTTGTGGATGCTACATTTCGGAAGGTGACGGCGTTTCTCTCCGTTGAAACGTGACCTTCACATCGGTTTGCAGAATTTTCCCTCCAAGTATCTCTACCTAACGGAGCACCCCCTCAAAGCAGGACAAGCTCTGATCTCCCAACATGTGTGGTAGAGAAGTACATGCAAATGTAAGTTTGGGGTAGTTAGGGGTAAGGATATATTAAGGAAGAGAAAGGAAATATCGCGCGCGGCCCGTGAACATTTTTTGAAGGGACTGCTCCGGCATTCGCCCGGTATTGAATGGAGAAACCAGTAAAAACTATCCATCCATCAACATGTCTATTGTGTACGGTGTGTGAAGGCGGACGGCGACCGTGTTGGGAGTACCTTACACCGGAATTCTACTTGTCGGGTTGGTTTTCAATCGCTTGTGTTGCTACAGCACTGCGAAAATGTGAACGTGTTATTAATGATTTATTAGTTGAGAATGCCATACATATTATGAATGCAGAATCAATTGCGTGCTATGTAAACACAGATTGTTACTTTGTGGATTGATGAACATTCCCTTCTAAAACACCAAGAAAAGTTATTATTCATTTACGTAAAATAAAAATGTTCAGACAAACTCGAACTTGCTGCTGTGATAGCTGAATAGCTGAATCCTAAGAAATCATTAAGTCCTGCAGCGGGATATTATTTCTTTGTAAACCCTAAATAGCTAGAATTGATAATGTTAGTAGTCGCTTTAGACTAATGGCCTAAGAGATTGCTACGACATCAAAAAGTACTTAAAACATGAAATTACTACATATGAAGACAGCAGCATTGTATCATTAATTATATCAAAGGTATCAATATCTCCAACAACTATATTACCATTCTATACTTATTAAATAGCACAACACTCCATCGTCTTACAATGCATTTTGCACAAATGTCACTAAAGCTCGCAGAAAGTACCTTAAAGTTATTTTTGAATCGCTGTTTGTACTTTTAAATGGCGAATAGAGAAAAGAAAGGTAATGATTGGAGTTTCATTAGAGCACAAAAATCATTGGTTTGACTTCTGCCAATGCTGTTCTCACCACTGTTTAAAAGCATCCATTTCATTCCTATACATTAAAATAAAAATTGATTGCATTTCAAAATATTGCGACAAAGGAATTGGAAAAGTCTTAGAAAATTCTAGGATCTATCGGAAGCTAGAAGCCTGAGATGCACTTGTGTTCTCCGACGCAAGATTAATATGGACTGTTTCCTACCATGCACCCGATATACTAAGAATTGATGGAATCAGAGCGCCTGTTTCAGTTATTGTCTGTAATTGACAATAACTAGTTGAAACATTTGCGAAAGCATTAGCACTTACGTGCCATTTCGGAAGAAGTACGATCCTTGCATCATGTTGAACGAAAAGCAAAGTCCTTCTTCAGTGAGAATTGGTTGAAAATCGAAATGTGTCTTCAGATCTTTTCGTCGGAATTCTGCTGAATATATTGTATCCTTCATTTGAGGTGAAAACTGAAAGAGAACAAAAGTAAAAATGTTAGCCATTTCTTTTCTACTGGAAGTATAAAGAAACTAAATTTTATGACAATTGTGATATTTTCGTGTGAACGGTACCTTTTCTATGCTTTCCACTGTATTAATATTTCTAAATATGTCTTCTGAGTTGTCTATTCCTTTCTTGTCGCAAAGAACGAATAAATCCAGAAATATTTGTTCCCTGTTGATAAGAAAAATATGTAAGTGGATTTCATTTTCGTTTTAAAAACTTCAATCTAAAACAAGATTAAATATAAAATAAATAACTTCTTTAAAACTCATTGAAATTGTATTGATTATTTACATTCAAAAGAGATGATGTGTTACTTGCGTTTTTCATGATTTCTTTCCATCACAAAAAAATAAATTTCTCAGTAAGTACAGGTGGATATTCGATTGTGATTTATCAAATGGGGGCATTTAATTCTGATCTATAGAAAACAATTTCCATTTTTACTTTCTCTACGCTACTGCTTACGGAGTATATCGGAAGTATTGTAATACTTCGGCGAAAAGAGCAAAATTTCGACAGAATAACACACATGCACATCTGAAATATCACAGTTGTGTTTCTTGAGCATACTGCACAGAATCTCAGGAACAGATTTTTTAATGCTTGCTTGCAACCAATCCTACATTACACCACCCTACCTGAAACCCAAGTCAGCCCGAAACAATTCCAATCCGTCAATTGTCTGACCGTCATGAGACTTAAATGAAAAAAAAAATGAAAAAAAAAAGAAAAAAAAACAAACAAGAAACTTGCTGCAGCTCACCCCCTCTACCAACACACGATTGTGTCTTGGTGGCATAAATATGCAGCGGCCAAATTACCGCGACAAAAGCAGTTGCTCCCAGACATGGGTTGCGAAATACAATAAAGACCCTATATTCTGGCTGCGCACGTGACCACACTTACTCCTGTTGCGTGCTGGCGTTGTTGCCGAGGCATTGGCTCCTGTAGACGGCGCTGAAGTTGAAGGCGGAGGCGCGTAGCTTGTTGACGGGACAGACGGTGACGGCGGGGAACGGGATCTCCCAGACGGGCCGCTGCGTCTCGTCCATGGCGACGATGACGGGCGACGCGCGCCACCTCGCCCACGTCTGCGCCACCAGCACTGCGCATGCGCCCAGCGACAGCGCGACCCCCGCCACCCACAGCAGCCTGCGCGCAGCCACAGCACAACGCAAGGCGTAGACAGATAGATTTAGTATTGCTGCAGGTAGGTATAGAACCTGGTGGCAGAACACTACAATTTACATTTTACAACTAAGAATAGTGTAATTTTAAAGCATTTTAAGGCAATAATAACAATAATAACAATAACAGCATTACCTATACACTTTATGACTGTCCTGCACGGAATTTTTAACTAATAAATACACTTAACTTAACTTCACTACACTTGCGTTTCACTTCGGCACACTATACTTGCACTTGACTTCTCTATTGCACTACACTTCACAACACAACATGGAAGTGTAGTAGTATAGCTTCTCTCTTTCGATACTCCGTTGCTTACGTAAGTATATACTCCGATTTAAACGTAGTGGCTCTTCAAAACCACGAGGTGGATGGAGTGGGGGACATCTTATCGGAAGCTCCGACTCCTAACATTGAAGTCGTAACAACTGGATGACAGTGTCCTCCTCTCCGTCCAGCTCTTGATCTTAAACTATCGATACATTTAAGTCGAAGAAAAAGGAGGATAAGCCTTTAATTTAACTACGAGTATACGTCAGGGTTTTTCTGCTTTTCTTCCGCCTGCCGAGACTGGCAAACCTCCGTCCGCGATCTCCATGACACTTGGTGTAGTTTCCCCATTTTATCACCGAATTGGTAATCTGTAGTGACAGGCACGTTTCCATCAATTATTACCAATTTCAGGTCATCGTTTCCATATTGAAACCATTTTTAAATTCATTCCAATTTTATACTCCAATGTGTAACATGAATGTGGACATTCTTTAATTATTATACCAAACTAAAACCATCAACATGGCATCCTTCCTAACATACGACCTCGACCGAGTACACAAGCGTTTTCCTGGCTCACTTGAAGTGTTCGAAAAACAACAGCCGTCTTTCTCCTTCAGTTGTCGCTTGCATAATTTCCATAAAATTAGGTTTTTCTCTCTAGATTTTCACTTGCGCCCTATTGTATTCTAAAGTAAATTAACGACGCATTTTTACCGTAATTCACAGATGTTTCAATGTCATTTTGCAGTCAGTTCTTCAAAATTTCATTTTTACTTACATAGGGTTTTGTTACAATCACTTGACACGCGATGTAAGTTATGCTTTTTCTTGAATTTACTTTTCAAAACCTAATATAAACTTGTTTCTTGTTGGTCTAAAATATGTTTTATTTATGCTGGGCTGATTACATTTCACTATTTTGTCAACACCGACGGAATAAATAAAGGTCTGTTCCTACGCTCACGATCAGTCAATTGTGTCTGCCAGTATGTCGAGTTTTTCCTATTAAATTATATGTTGGCGTGTCTATCTGAACCGTCCCAATACATACGAGGAGACAACGAAATATTATAGAGCAAACAGCACCCCCTAGTTTCCCAGTTATTAACATTTGCAATCGAATTTATTGATTATTTTGTTTGCATGTAAATTTATTTCTGATGATAATAAAAAACAACCCTAATTACCTCTCGATACAGGGTCGACTGGGTTCTGCCATGTACTTCAAGCCGTGCACGCTCGTGTTGTCGCAAAAGTCCGCCAGGTGTCTCTTGAGGTCGCGCGCGCAGTTGCAGCAGCCGTCGCCGAGGCGCGCTGCCAGCGACGGGTCTGGCAGCTGCGGCTGCGGCCGGGGGCGCACCCGAATCCGCGTGGCGCGCGCCCGCGGCGCCAGCGGGGCCGTCTCCATTGACAAAGTGGCCAGGTCCAGGGTGACGCACAGCAGGGCCGCTGGTCGGATCTCCTAACACAAAGCCAGATTGCCGATTTATTTTGTCTATGAATAGTAAAAGCTGTTTGTGACGTAATAATAATAATAATAATAATAATAATAATAATAATAATAATGTCTTTATTAATGGCGAGGCTCAGGCCATAGGGCCTGCTCTTCCGCCTAACCACTAAACGTATGGAGGAGAAGTACAAACTGCACACGGTTTCTTGAGCTTTGAAATTTTTTTATCCATCTTTTAACCCAAAATAGATGAATGATGCATAAATGTACCAACCAACGAGTTAGAATATATCACATAGTGGCTAACCCGATGGTGGCAGCGCTCTTGGTGTACGCTCGAAAAGGGGCTGCCAAGTTTTGTGCAGTCAAAGCATGAAAGGTGCCTAATGATGGCGTATAGAACTGTTGTACTGAATCTACGCGTTGTTTGTGTCATAACGTATTTCTAAATTTGTTTTTTTTCGTTTAACTGTATTTTAGTTATATTTGTGGTTAGAATAATAATATTCTTAATGCCTTCAGTATGTTCGGGATATTACTGTAAAAATAGAAGTCATCAAACCATAATGAAAGCATTTTTCAAGTTAGCAGCCTTAATTGTGATCAGTTTGTTTGCTTCACCTTCAGGCGTTATACTAACTACAATAACATTTCAACAGTTTCCATTCTTATGACAATAACCGGTGCAGGAAGCAATGTGTGTTTTTAAACTTTCTGAGTTCGTTCTCCTTACATATTATGAATTCCTTTTTAAATTATTGGTTTTTGGTCATGAAACACACAGAAAGTGAATTTATATTACGCGCGGCACGCGCCCACCCAGCCTTATACAGCGCAAAACGGAATAGTAGAATATTCTGTTTCTCTAGAGGTCACTGATTTGTCTGCAAAAAACATGGGTTCAATTTGTTGCAAAGTTGGAGGCGCTGAGAAACTCTATGTAGTATATTCTAACTCGTTGATCTCGAAAGATAAAGCTTGATTATCAGCTCTTATCGCGGTTCGTAATGATTCATCTCTGGCGTCACGAAATAGGTAAAGGCACTTTACCTGAAGAAAGAACTAGGCGTATCAAAATACACGCCATACAGATATGTATATCTATGAACCAGAGAACTCTTCCTAATTGAGGCCATAAGATATAATCTATTACTACCATTTGTCTCAGCATACAACAAACTGCTAGCGGAAAGACAACAGAAGAGAGAAGAGGTAGAAGAACACTTTTACTGCACGAGTGCCATGATAGACAGAAGTTGGACAAAACCAAGACTGGAAATGAGAAGTGTAATAAAGAAATTAGCGGTGCACGGATTTCATCATAAACTCTGCAACACAACCACATATCACGTGCTTTCATGCAAGGGAAACAACAAAACAATTACGGAGCTCAGGTCCGAAGACTGAACTATACATTTCCATACAATTCCGTGCACACTTGTGCGCTTTTTTAGTTATATAATAATAATAATAATATCATCCTGTCCCCCTAATTGATATTCAAGGCTAACAACCCTGTCTTAAGCAAGGGATGTAGCCGAAAGGATGATCACCATAATTCAACAAGTACTCGTAGATGTCTCCAGGATATAATACAACTGGGCGTAGGAGAGAGAAATGTATTGCGTGATCAGTAGTGGCCCATACGCGAATAATGACAATAATAATAATAATAATAATAATAATAATAATAATAATAATAATAATAATAATAATAATGACAATAATAATAATAACAATAACAATAATAGTAATTACAACGAAAATTTACATTGACTTACAAAAAGGAGATCTTTCTTCGAATCACGACGCTGCAGGCCCAGAGTATCAGCGCCGTACCTGCGAATGCTCAGGCGGTCACTGCCCAACTCCCCGGGTGCTTGGCCCGCGTGGCGGAGTGCATTGCCCCGAGCGGTGCGGGGTGCGTGCAGGGCACAGAGCCCACGCATTTAATGTGTGGGAGGGCCACCGCGTTCTAAGCGCCGCGCTGTTCGCTTCGCCTCACTCTTCATTACATTACGCTCCTCTCGGAAAGGGCTTCGTTTGATGTCTCCGGGGCTCCGAGAGAAACGTAACAGTAATGGAGAGTGGTTTTGCAAATGAGAATTCCGTCCTTGCATTTTATACACGAAGCAAACGCTTGCTGGCTAACATCCATAAATTTTTCCACTGGTTAGTCTCCATAAATTATCTTCTGAATTAATACGTTTTCATACAAGGGCGGGGCAACTTTTGGCTCAGTGACTAGGTCACTTGCTCGTTGGTTATCACGTTTACATTTAACTTGATGTTGGATTAGGAGTGAAGAAGCAATGAATACGTAGTAAATTACAAAGCAATTCGTAATAAAAAGACATTATATTTTTTCGTTGTAATTAAAATGGTTTGAAATTTGTTTTATGAATTACAATTCTCAAAAACACATTTTCTGAGAAGTGAATGTGGCGCTTCAGTATAAATAATACGTTAATGAAAATTATTTACTAAACTACCTTCAATTATACACAACAGTTAACTTTATATTGAAATTTGACATATATAAAACATTTAATTTTATGTTTTATTTTTGGCAACATATAATTATATATTTAAGTTTGGCACACTTAAAAAACTTCAGTACTAATATTCGTAAAATTAAATATTTTACTTTACACCTCTTTGAGTACCGTAAAACAATTAGTTGACTAATATTTATTAACATACAAAAATATCGTATTTTACGTCAACTGACAACACTGATTTACAACATTATATTACAAAGTTTCTGTTATAGATTGTGACCTTCTTCAAGTGTTTGAAAAAACGAGAACTTAGTAAAAAAGGAGAAAAATAAAATGAGTATTAAAAGGAATAAACCATTGTAACAATATTTTACGTCTTGTTGCCCATTCAATGTCAATCAAATTTATGTACAATAAAAAAACGTGAACTGGACGTGTAAATCGACTTACCTTGCAAATGATTAAAGCACAGAGAAAAAATAAGCAAAGCCCGTACGTCAGTCCAGCAAAAAATATTATATGTAATGGAAAAGATAATACAACGTAAAAATTATATGTAGTATGAAAATTTTAAAATACGTTTATGTAAAGTGTAAAGATTAGATAAAAAAATTCATAAAGATATGTTCTA